TTAGCCTGTCCACCTATCTATCCATCCATATACCCATGTTCGCCTTCACTGACAACGCAGTACTGTATGTGCAAAAGGGTTCATATTTGTTGTCTGTACCTCCCATGTACCTCTCCATGTCTTTCTCATCCTCAAAGATTTTGCATTACTCTTAAGTGTTGCATAGCATTCCATTGTGTGTATGTACCACGATTTGCTTATCTATTCTTATGTTGATAGGCACCTAAGTTGTTTCCATCATTTTGCTATTGTAAAAAGGGCTGCTTTGAACATGCATATATCGGTCCTTATCCTAGCTCTCCTATAGGATGCATACCTAGTAATGGGATTTGCTGGATCAAATGGTATTTCTAATTCTAACTTTTTAAGGAATCACCATACTGCTTTCCACAGTAGTTACATCATTTTACAGTCCCACCAGCAGTGTATGAGTGTCCCAGTCTCTCCACATCCTCACCAGCCTTTGTTATTTTTTATGTTGTTGAACTTTGCTGGGGCAAGATGGTATTTCATTGTTGTTTTGATTTGCTTCTCTCTAAGGAGTTCTGGGAGCTCTGGTAGCGTAGTGCCTAAGGCACTTGCCTGCTAACCACAAGGCTGGCGGTTGAAACCCACCAGCCACTCCTCAGAAGGAAGATGGGGCAATCTACTTCCGTAGTGATACTGCTTCGGAAACCCAAGGAGGTGTCGCTATGAGTCGGGTCCGACTCGATGGCAAATAACAACAATGGCTGATGAGGAGCTCTGGTAGTATAGTGCCTAAGGCACTTGACTGCTAACCAGAAGGCAGGTGGTTCAAACCCACCAACCACTCCTTGGAAGGAAGGTTGGGCAATCTACTTCTGTAGTGATACTGCCTCGGCAATCCAAGAAAGGGTCGCTGAGTTGGGTCCAACTCGACGACACACAACAACAACAATAACAATGGCTAATGATTGTGAACATTTCTTCATGTGTTTGTTGGTTGCCTGAATATCCTCTTTGGTGAAGTGTCTTTTCATGTCTTCTGCCCATTTTTGAATTGGATTATTTGTCTTTTTTGGTGTTGAGGCATTGGAGTTTTCTATAAATTCTAGAGATAAGTCCCTTGTCAGATATGTCATTGCTGAATATTTTTGCCCAATCCGTAGGTTCTCTTTTGACTCCTTTGGAGAAGTCTTTTGAAGTACATAATTTGAATTTTAGGAGATCCCATTCATCTAGTTTCTCTTCTGCTGTTTGTGCATTTTGAGTTATGCTTGACTATTTATAGCATACATGAGGGCCTCTAAATTTGCCACTATTTTTTCTTTGTGAAACTTTATAGTTTCAGGTTTCACATTTAAGTCTTTGATCCATCTGGAGTTAGTTTTTGTGTATGGTATGAGGTACAGATCTTGTTTTATTTTTCTGCAAATGGATATCCCGTTTTGCCAGCACCATTTATTAAACAAGCATTCTCTTCCCCATTTAATGGATTTCAGCCCTTTGTAAAAAAATCAGCTGACCACAGGTCAATGGATCTATTTCTGGGTTCTTAATTCTATTTCATTGTCTGTCATTGTACCAATAATAGGCAGTTTTGACTACTGTGGCTGTGTAATGAGTTTTGAGATCTGGGAATGTGAGATCTCCTACTTTGTTGTTGTTCTTCAATAGTGCTTTGCTTATCTTAGGTCTCTTTCATTTCCATTTAAAATTAGTGATTGCTTTTTCCATATCTTTAAAGAATGTTGATGGGATCTGGATTGGGATTACATTGAATATATAGATTGCTTTGGGTAGGGTTGACGTTTTCACGGTGTTCAATCTTCCTATCCATGAGCATGGTATGTTCTTCCATTTATGTAGATATCTTATGGTTTCTTAAAGTAGTGTTTTGTAGTTTTCATTGTTTAGGCCTTTTGTGTCCCTAGTAAGATTTATTCCCAAGTATTTCATTTTTTGGTAACTATTGTAAATGGTACTGATTTCCTTTTCAGCAATCTCTTTGCTGGGGTAACAAAATCCAATTAATTTTTGTATGATGATCTTGTATCCTGCCACTATGCCAAATCTCTTAATTAGTTCCAGTAGTTTTTTTTGCTGAATCTTTTGAGTTTTCTATGTTTAGAATCATATCATCAGCATATAGGGATATGTTTTACTTCTTCTTTACTAATTTGGATGCCTTTGATTTCCCTTTCTTGCCTTATTGCCCTAGCTCACTAAACTTAAAACTCTGCCTTTGAGTCAGATCCGACTCACAGTGACCCCTCCTTGGGTTTCTGAGGCAGAATCACTACAGAAGTAGATTGCTCAACCTTCCTTCTAAGGAGTGGCTGGTGAGTTTGAACCACCAGCCTTCAGGTTAGCAGTCAGATACCTTAGGCATTAACGCCACCATTTTGCACTGACTAGGACTTCCAATACAATGTTGAATAGAAGTGGTAATAGAGGGAGGACATCCTTGTTAGTTCCTGTTCGCAAGGGGAATGGTTTCAGTGTCTTTCCATTGAGGATAAAGTTGGCTGTTGGTTTTGCATATATGCCCTTTATTTTGTTGAGGAATGTCCCTTTCATTCCTATTTTACAGAGAGTTTTTATCAAGAATGGGTATTGCATTTTATCATATCCCTTTTCTGCATTGATGTGATCATGTTCTTTTCCTTTCTTTTATTTATGTCATGGATGACATTGAGTATTTTTCTAATGTTGAACCATCCTTGCATACCTGGAATGAACCCCACTTGGTCATAATATATTATTTTTCTGGTATATTGTTAGAGTCTATTGGCTAGGACCACCACATAGACCAAGAGACTGTCGTTTAAACAGAGCAAGGGGATTCTGCATGATTTAAAATCAGAAAAGGAGTGTGTCAAGGTTGTATCTTTTTACCATACTTATTCAATCTGTATGCTGAGCAAATAATCTGAGAAGCTGGACTGTTTGAAGAAGAATATGGAATCAGGATTGGAGGAAGACTCATTAACAACCTGTGATACACAGATGACACAACTTTGCTTGCTGAAAGTGAGGATGACTTGAAGCACTTATTGATGAAGATTAAAGACTACAGTCTGCAGTATGGATTACATGTCAACATAAAGAAAATGAAAATCGTCACAACTGGAGTAAAAAGCAACATCACAAGTAGTGCAGAAAAGATTGAAGTTGTCAAAGATTTCATATTACTTGGTTCCACAATTAACACAAATGGAAGGAGCAGTCAAGACATCAGGGGATGTATTGCACTGGGAAAATCTGCTGCAAAAGACCTCTTTCAAGTGCTGAAGAGCAAAGATGTGTCTTTGAAGACTAAGTTGTGCCTAATCCAAGACATGGTATTTTTGGTCGTCTCATATGCATGTGAGAGCTAGACAGTGAATAAGGAAGACTAAAGAAGAGTTGATGCTTTTGAGTTGTGGTGTTGGCAAAGGATCCTGAAAGTGCCATGAACTGCCAGAAGAACTAACAAATCTGTCTCGGAAGAAGTGCTGGAATGCTTCTTGGAGGTGAGAATGGCCAGACTTCATTTGACCTACTTGGGTCATGTTGTCAGAAAGGACCATTCCCTGGAGAAGGATATCATGCTTGGTAAAGTGGAGAGTCAATGAAAAAGGGGAAGACCCTCAATGAGATGGATTGACACAGTGGGTGAAATGATGGGCTCTGGTATAGCAAGTATTCTGAGGCTGGCACAGGACTGGGCATTGTTTTGTTCTGTTGTACATAAGGTTGCTATGAATCAGAGATGACTCGATTGCACTTAACAACAAAACAGCATTGGCTAGGATTTTGTTGAAGATATTTGCATCTGTATTCGTGAAGGATATTAGCCTGTAGTTTTCCTTTTTAGTGATGTCTTTGGCTGGTTTTGGTTTCAAGGTTATGCTTGCTTCATAAAATGAGTTAGGGAGGATTCCATCCTTTTCTATGTTTTGGAATACTTTGAGTAGGATCAGTATCACTTCTTCTCTGAATGTTTTATAGAATTCTCCAGTGAAACCGTCTGGCCCAGGGCTTTTTTTATTGGTAACTTTTTTATGACCTGTTCAATTTCTTCTTTTGTTATGGGTGTGTTCAAAATTTCCACCTCAGTCTGTGTTATTTTAGGTAAGTCATGTGTTTCTAGAAATCTGTCCATGTCTTCTAGATTTTCAAATTAATTTGAGTACAGTTCTTTATAGTATGCTGATAATATCCTTTTTATTTCAGTTGGTTCTGTTGTGACGTTGCCCAGTTCATTTCTTATTCATGTTATTTGTTGTCTTTAGCTTTTTCCTTTGTTAAATTTGCCAGTGGTTTGTCAATTTTATTAATCTTTTCTAAAATCCAACTTGTAGTCTTGTTGATTTTTTCTTTTGTCTTTCTGTTTTTTAATTCATTTCTTTCTGCTCGAGTATTTATTATTTCTTTTCTTCTGGCGACCATAAGCTTTTTTTGCTGCTCTTTTTCTAATTGTTGGAGATGATCGGTTAAGGTCTTTATTTTGGCTCTTTCTTCTTTTTTGATATGTGCATTTATTGCCATAAATTGGCCTCTGCTCATTGCTTTTGCTATGTCCCAGAAATTTTGGTATGTTGTGTTTTCATTCTCATTTGATTCAAGGAATTTTTCTGTTTCAGTTTTTATTCCTTCTTTTACCCAGTTGTTTTTAAGGAGGGTGTTATTCAGTTTCTGTGTTTGCTATTTTTCCATTGAGCTTCCTATTGTTGATTTCTAATTTGATAGCACTGTGATCTGAGAAGATGCTGTGCAGTGTTTCATTGTTTTTAAATTTATTAACACTTGATTTGTAGCCTAACAGTTGGTCTATCCTGGAGAATGTTCTGTGTGCTCCGGAAAAGAATGTATTTTGTGCTGTTGTTGGGTGTAGTGCTCTGTAGATGGCTATAAGGTCAAGTTGGTGGAATGTATTGTTAGTTCTTCTGTGTCTTTACTGAGTTTCTTTCCAGTTGTTCTGTCTTTCATTGAAAGTAGTGTATTAAAGTCTCCTACTATTACCTGGTAGCATAGTGCCTAAGGCACTTGACTGCTAACCTGAAGGCTGGCGGTTCAAACCCACCAGCCACTCCTCGGAAGGAAGGTTGGGCAATCCTACTTCCGTAGTGATACTGCCTCGGAAACCCAAGGAGGGGTCGCTATGAGTCGGGGCCAACTCGACGGCATATAACAACAACATAACAACTATTACCATGGAGTCATCCATTTGTCTTTTCAATTCTGTTAGAGTCTGATTTATGTATCATTGGGTGCAAGGAGCTCTGGTGGTGTAGTGCCTAAACCATTTGACTGCTAACCAGAAGGCTGATGGTTTGAACCCACCAGCCACTGCACAGAAGGAAGACTGCGCAATCTACTTGTATAAAGATTTACTGCCTCAGAAGGCCAAAGGGGGTTGCGATGAGTTGGAATCAACTCGATTGCATTGAGTTTGTTCTTTTTTTTTTTTTTTGGTTCATTGGATGCATAGATATTATTATCGTTATGTCCTCTTGCTCAATCTATCCTTTAATCATTATTGTCATTCCTTGTCTCTTATACTGGCTTTTGTCTTAAAGTTAATTTTATCAGAAATTAATAACACTACTCCTGCTCTTTTTTTGATGGCCATTTGCTTGATATATCTTTTTCCAACCTTTGATTTTCAGTCAGGTTTTGTCTTTGTCTCTAAGGTGTGTCACTTGTAGACCTCATATTAATGGGTCATGTTTTCTGATCCAGTTTGAAACTCTCCATCTCTTGAGTGGTGCATTTAATCCATTTACATTCAGTATAATTATCAAGTATGAACTTGTTGCTGTCATTTTGTTATGTGTTTTTTCATATTGTTGCTGATTTCTTTGTTCATATAATTTTCTGTGCTGAGCTCATTTTGTTTATGAATCATGTTATCACTTCCTTTGTTGCTGTTATTTTAGTATTTGCTAAATATTTGTGCTTCTTGTCTTTTTAATTTTGATGTGAATGTTTATTATTTTTCTTTGTGGTTACCCTGTAATTTATGATTTTCTTCCCAAGTTTAGAACAGTCTGTTCTATCTTGCAGTTTCCTTGACTTCCTCGTTATTTAGAAATTCTGTAACTACACTATTTATTTCCTTTTTTTGGTTTATAGTTGTCCACATTTGCCAATTGATGTCTCTGGTTCCCTGTTTACAATCTTGTAAGATTATTTTACTTTGGATACTTCCATAACTCGCTTGGTTTCTTTTAAAAGTCTGTTGAAGTTAGATATCATTTGTTGCTTTTCAGTCTGAAACAGTTATATTTCAGTATATTTTCTATTTAACACTTTTGTGCTTATGAGCCTAAAATGGTCAAAAACATAGTAGTGAGTTGTTATGTTTTATTTTCTTATTATTGTCTAGTTAGTGAAGGGATAAAGGGGACGACTTTGTTGTGTAAGTGGCTTATAATTTATCTAGGAAGAAAAAACTAACAAAGCTAAAATGGAACATAATGTACAGAGTTGTGTGATGAACAATAAGTGCTGAAGGAGTTCAGAAGAAAAGGGATTTAATAAAAAATAATTTTTATAAAATTACTGTTTTTACTTCAAAGATATATTAGTTTTCTGTGATAATTCATATTATTAATATTCTGTATCATACCATATGAGATCTCATGTAAATGAAATAGAACAAAGAACATCGGAAATAATCTTTAGGAGATCATAAAAGAAGAGACCGTTGCCCAGTGTGGACAACTTGATTTGGAATGTGAGGGGCATAAAATCTTAGAAATGTTTCCTTTGTATTAATTTCTAAAAATGCAGTTTAGACATACTCATTCCAACACTGAATAATTGTTGCAGATTTCCAAATGGTACTAAATTTTATTGGTATGTTTAGATAAACTAGGTTATAATATTAGAGTGGTATTTAATATTTTCATTTACTGTTTTTACTTACCACAGATATATTGAAGCAATGGTTCATTGTGCTAGTACCCGACATCCAGCTGCAATAGTAGATGATCTTCATGCTAAAGTCCTCAGGGAAGCTGTCCAAAATAGCAAGACTACCTTCTCAGAAAATGTAAGTTTTTTATTTTATGGGCATGACAAATTGTGTATTCTTCATGTGTACAAAATACCCAAACTTGAAAAAACGTGAATGTATCAACATTTTATTAGCAAGTTAAATTAGAATTCATGGACCTATTCTAAACAGTCTTTATATGTCACTGGCTCCATAAAAGATAGCACATGAAATTGAACTATAGATTAAATAGTAGTAGAAATATTGTTAAAATAGCTTTTTTTCTTTTAAAGTAGTTTAATTCTAAGCCTTTCCTAAAGAACTTTGGCCGTAAGTGAATGAGTAAAGAATCCTACAGTAGCCTAGAGGGTTCTTCATTTTCTGAGAAAAGCTGCTTATTATTTTTGACTTTCCCCTTTGATTTGTTGACTTGTATCTTAATACTTTTGAGATTATTTATTTTTCGCCTAAATCGATTAAGTCACTGCCTTTTACTGTATGATATTCTAGTCATGCTGTGGTTTTAGTCACAAAGCCAGTTGCTTAGCAGTTATATCCTAGTGTCCTTCTGGTAATTCTCCATTTGACTTTGAAATTTATCTGGATCTTATTTGAACTAAAGGAGCTCTGGTAGCACAGTGCCTAAGGCATCTGCTGCTACCCACACGGTTGGTGGTTCAAACCCACCAGCCACTCCACAGAAGCAAGACTGGGCTATCTACTTCTGTAAAGATTTACCCCCTCAAAACCCAGTGAGGGTCACTATGAATTGGAATCAACTCCATTACTTTTTTTTTTTCTTTGAACTAGGGCAGAAGAGTGGTGAAAAGTAAGACCGATTATTTTTTATTCATAACATTTAATTACAGTATTTTGGCATTTCATGTGACAGATAGTTAAAGGAAGTGTGGTGTAGTAAATTACATAGTGTGGCTTTTCTAGCCATAAGTCTTTTTTTTTTTAATGATTGAAAGATTAATTTTTACCTATTCCTTGTATGCAGTTCTTTTACCAAACTGTCTTACTAGAGGTGCTCATTTTTAACCCAGCCAAGTAGTTTAATTTTTTTTTTTTTT